CGCAGAGAGCCTTCCTAATATTAACAGTTTTTAATTGGTTATTTTATAATGTTTTTTTCTTACCCCAAATTGGGAAAAAAAAAAAAAAAAAACTTTCTGGGCCGGCCCGGTGGTGCACTCGGTAGAGTGCGGCGCTCCCGTCGAGGGTTCGGATCCCATATAGAGACTGGTCCGCTCACTGGCTGAGCGCGGTGCGGGCGCGACACCGAGGGTTGCGATCCCGTTGCCGGTCGTGGTACGGACACGACACTGAAGGTTGCAATCCTGTTGCCGGTCGTGGTACGGGCGCGACACTGAGGGATGCAATCCCGTTACCGGTCACGAAAAAAAAAAAAAAACTTTCACCTCTGTATTTTATCATGATTTAGCTTAGCCATTGAATAACCCTGGTGCTTCTTGATTTTTGAGAATGAAAGCATTCAGACACTACATGAAGATAACAATTCCATCTCCTATAAGAACATCAACATTTGTGCTTTATTTTTGTTTTGCTTTGTTGGTGACTGGCTGGTACAGGGATCCAAACCTTTGACCTTGGTGTTACAACACCTAACGTCTGTGCTTTTACAACAAAAGCTTTGTCATCATCAAGAGGTGGCAGCATTCTTACCAGATTATCAAGCATCCGCATGAGGGCTTCAAATTCTTGCTCACCAATCTGCCACTTGGGAGGCGATCCTGTGCCTTCTCCTGCCGGAGACTCCGGAGCGCGGGATTTGGCTTTGTACTTCCCAGGATCCAGCAAGACTAAGTTGTCTGGTCCTCCGGCGCTGGCCAGAGTTCGAACCTTTTCCAAAACAAGCAAACACTGTGGCTTGACTTCCTTACTAAAGCCAAGAGGATCAGGTGACTGTGAGAGATCACTTGAACAGAAATGTAGGTTTTAATAGAAACTAAATCACTACAGTATAAGAATAAAAAAAGGATGGATAGTGATAAACTGATCATACGGTTATCTGCAGAAGTTTTTCTTTAGCATGAAAAAAATATTGATTGGGCACTCATACTTGGCAGAGAAACGGGAAAACAAAGCACCTGTCGGGATCTTGTGAAGGACTTGAGACCTCATCACTCCGCAAACATAAGTCAGGGAGCAGTGGGGAGAGCATGCAGTTGGGGTTCAGCAAATCTGGCATAAAGGGCACTCACAGCTGTGAGACTGTGGGCAAGTATCTACCCCTCTGTGCTGGCTTTTTCAAAATAAGCACTGTGAGGCTCAAATGAAATAAAGTGGGCAAGGACATACACACAGCACCTGACCCAGCCTGGCACATACCATCACTCCAGAAGTGGTAGTGACTTATGTATTCAGAAAATAAAAAATCAGAAATGAGACGTCCAATAATCTTTTGCCAACTTAAATCAGTGAAATGGCATTTGTCCTGGTCAATTTCCAAATCCATGAGCTCATCTTTGGCAAAGAGACTGCTCAAAGACTCATTCCCGCAGACAAATATCAAAAAAAAATCTATGTGAACCCTGAAAACATCTAAGTGTACTGCAGACCAAATGGAATGGCCATCACCTACCTGGATCTCACATGCAACCACAAGGTTATGGATGTAATAGAAGGCCTCCTCAACGCTCTCTCCAACTGATACGAGCCCATGATTCCGGAGAATCAGAACCTGAGTGGGAAAGCATGAAAGCTCTATGGAGCTGGGCAAGAAGACTAATAACTTTACTTTTTTCTTATTTCCTCTATAATTTAAATACCAGATTAGATACCTACTGACCTTGCTTTTAGGCCCCAAATTTTTCTGAATCAAAACTTTTTCCTCCTCATCAACCAGAATGCCATGATATTCATGATAAGCCACTTCTCCAAGGGAAAGCGCCTCCGGCGAGATTGGCAACAGGCCACATTTCATCGCAGAGACCTAGAGACCAAGCAGTCACCATGAAGGAGGGAAAAGCCAGAATTAACACCGTGACATGGCAAATTCTTTCCTCACAGAAATATTTTATTTGGTTCTCTTCTTGGAAATAAATGAACCCATGAAATTAGGATAAATTTGACTTCTGGGGCTTACTACCAATCCACACTTTAAAACAAAAGCTATCACTAAGCTGGGAGAGCCTTCAGAAGAAAATCTACATCTTTCTGAATTTTATCCCACTGATTATAAATGCTGAGTGAGTCTGGATTTAGTGACACAATGAGCCCTGGGTCTCGTGCCAGGAGTGGACAACAGGCTCCTATGAGGAGTCACTATTTTTCAAAAGAAGGTTTTCCAAGAACTGCAAGGCTTTTGAGTACTTTTCATCTTAGGCTGTAGGTAAGATTAAACAACCTGAACATCAGATAAAAGCAAATTTGTAAAAGCTTGGGATAACTATACTGTATTTTTCTATCTTTATTTAAGTAAAAATTTTCTACCTTTATTTAAGCAAAATTAAGTCTCAAAGTAAAAAAAAAAATCTGAGTGTTCATATAGCCCTTAAATTCCCCAAAGTGGCTTTAAAATATTTTGAAAGTCTTCTACACACAGCAACATTACGACTCTAGACTAACAGGCTCCAAAGATTTGAATAATGTCTACTGGCACAATTCCATAAAGAAAGGTTAATCTAAAAAGACAAACCACATTTCATTCCTTTCATAGTATCAGCATTCACATAAAAAGAAATTTCCTTACCAAGCAAAGTTATTTTGATAATTTTAAAAACATAATATGTGGTAACCATTCATAACCATATTCCCAAAAGTGCCTCTAATGATTTTTAAAAATCCATGGACATTTTAATGGTTGGAATAGCACTCATTCTTTTTTTTTTTTTTTTTTTTGACCAGTAAGGGGATCACAACCTTCGGCTTGGCATTGTCCACACCACGCTCAGCCAGCGAGCGCACCGGCCATCACTATATAGGATCCGAACCTGCGGCCTCGGCGCTACCAGCGCCACACTCTCCCGAGTGAGCCACGGGGCTGGCCCAGCACTCATTCTTTTTTTTTTTTTTTTTTTTTGACCAGTAAGGGGATCACAACCTTCGGCTTGGCATTGTCCACACCACGCTCAGCCAGTGAGCGCACCGGCCATCACTATATAGGATCCGAACCTGCGGCCTCGGCGCTACCAGCGCCACACTCTCCCGAGTGAGCCACGGGGCTGGCCCAGCACTCATTCTTTTAAGAAAAAATTACATCATTCAAAGAATGATATGTCTAATTAAACTCTGATGCTGACATCAAAAATCATATATTCAAAGTGAAATGAATGAGAGCTAACATTTGTCCAAACTATCCAATTTGCATGGCATTGAAACATCAAGGTAGATTAAAATACAGTACTACTGAATCAATAAGATCATCTGTTACACAATAAGACCAAAAAGTCCTTGAAATATAAAACGTGTAAAGAGCAAAGCTCTAGAGCGCTGCATTTCATGCTGAGAGGTCTGGGCTTTTCTGCGGTGGCCCATTCACCGGAAGAGACCAGGCTTGGGGAACTGCTTAGACAGGCTCCTGGAAGTTCTGGACGTGGCAGCCAGGTCTCCTGACAGCCTGTACTATGTGTGCCTCTGCCCCTAACTGCTCTTCTTATTCTACCCCATCATGATCCAGCCTGGGTCCCACCAGCTCTAGAGAGAACCTCTGTGGGGAAGCTGGGCAGGTTGGTTTCCAAGCCTCAACCTTTCCTTCTCCCCCAGCTCATTCCTCACAGCCTGTCAACATGCTCAAGTCTCCTGCACCCTAAAAACCCTTCCCTGGGCCAACAGCACCCTCGATCCACTCTCTCCTTGTCTTCCTCTCCTTTACCCTCCCTTTCTCTTCTCAAACAAGGAGCTCTGCTCCCTGCTGCCATTTGGCACTTCCCACAGGCTTTGAAACACTGAAATCCGACCTCCACCCTCTCTACCCTCTAAGACTTTCTAATTGTTAAGTCTAATGAACATTTTTAGACTTATACGGTTTTCCAAAATTAGATAGTATATGGATCTCTTAAGAACAAAAGAAAAAAATTCTCTCAAGAAAGTCAAACTTAGGAGTAAAACTTGTTTTTTTAAATAGAACAAAATTAGGTTTATTTACTTCTTACAACAAGGGAGGGCGATTCAGGGAAATTTGAAGGGCTTCTCACTAAACAGCTTTAGAAGGGAAGATGCTACCAGGCTAGTGCACTCACCGCGGCCCCTGCGGGTGTGTGAATGTGCACAACACACTTCACATCAGGTCGTGCAGCATAAATTGCAGAATGTAATGTGAAACCAGCTTGATTCACCCCTAGATTAGTACTTCCACGATCTACTATATCTCCTTGTAGGTTGATCTTAACCTAAAAGTAAAAAAACAAAAATTTAAAATGTCAAGGGGACCTCGAATTACCCCAACTAGAAACTATTTAAACCCAACTTTAAAATGTTTATAACTTCTTTCAAAGGTTTTTCTCTAACTGAATTATTCACATTAAACATGGAGTATTTCCTATTTCTTGGGCTGAGTATGTTTAACCGGTTTTGAAGGTGTCTAATGATGTAATATAACCTACACATACATGATACCAAAGACAAGGACATTCTTACCAAACTGGATGCAGTCACTTCACTGTAAAGAAGTCCAAAAGGTACAATGAGGAAGTGTTCCTGCTCGGAGTTCACTCTGGTCTGTGGGGAAAATGACCGCGTTAGCTCAAATATCCAACTGAAATTATTTCTTCGCTTCCAGGCCACACACTCGCAGGAGTGAGAGCATGAAGTGAGCTGTGCAGGGACGCACATACGCACACTGCCTGTCACAAAGCTGAGAGGCACTGGAAGCTTTCCACTGTCCTATCGCAATCTAATTTTTCAAGTACATGAAGTGCTTCTTGGTCACATATACGATCACTGACTTTATCAAGAAACAGTTCTACATTAGCCCTCTGACAGGTCAATAAATTACTGGTTGGTTATTCTCTTGCAGCTTCTGGTGGTTACCAAACAGTATCATGGGCAAAAAGGTGTCATTCCTCAGGGGCATAACAATGAAAACCAAAACTTACTTTTTAAGAGTCAAAATGGATTTTTTTTAACACTCAAAACCTGTAGCATGATGAAGAATCATAAAAGCCATTAATGACAGCAATCTCTTTCTTACTGCTTGAACAATCTTAAAAGTTTCTACACCACCACCCCATCGTTCTTGGCTTGTCTTCCCCTTTCTCAAAACATTTTTCTTTCCACTACAGTTCATTCAATACAGATCCGGTACACATTACACACCAAGCATATGCTAGATGCAAGGACTATAGCAGTAAAAAAAGAAGAGTCCTGCCCGAACAAAAAATTCAATCTAGTTTTTATAATGATTTTGAGATAGACTCAAAAGACATCCTAAAGATCAAGTTGAAATATATTTACTACTGAGTTAAGAAACCCAGAATCCTAACTAGGGTTAGGTATATGGAATTTAGCGCTTGTTGAAAAGTACTTAAAACTTCCTAACCAGCATAGTGATGTCTTCTGTAGCGGCCCAAACACACACCTCAGATCTGCTGGGGCAGTTCTAGTGATGGGCTTGCCTCAGCTCTTCACTCAGTGAATACTTGCTGAGAGCCTACTACATCATGGGCACTATGGTACTGCAATAAGTACATGGAAGCTGGAGAGACCTAATCATTGAAACGTTCCTTCTCACACTGAGCAGAAATCTGTCTTCCCGTGGTTTTCACCGCTGCTTCTAGTATACAATACAGAACAAGCTCTATCCCCTTCTACAATTTAGTTCTCAGACATATGAAACCACCCTATCTCACTTTATGTCATCTTTATGCTAAACTCACCTGATTCTCTCAGTATAACGGGGTTAAGAGCACAGAATCCAAGGTCAGATAAGACTCAAGTTCAAATCCTACCTCTGCCAAGAATTGGCTATGCTGCTTTGGGCACCATGAAATCCTGTTTTCATCATCCATCAAGTGTGGATGATAAGGGCTCATACTCAAAAAAAGCTTTCAATAAATGGCATCTCTCCACTATTACTAGCACTAGTGGTAGTAGGAGCAGCAGTAGTAAATTATCACTAAAGAGACTATTCTGTATAAACCCGTCTCCATAATACCCAGTCTCTACAACTCCCTATTACCCAGTTCTCTGCTATCTTTTAGGTGTTTCAAAAACATACATGTGTGTGCAAAAATGCCAACATTTTAATGTAGGAGAGGAAGAAGAAGCTAATGTTGAATCTCTTAAATAAAGGGTTTGGATGAAGAGGCCAATGGAATAATAGATGAGGGAAAAGAAATTAATCAGCAAAGTTCTCAGTTGGAGAGTCTTTCTGAACTTCAGGTGTTAGTTTCTCAAAGGCATTCAACCCCCAAAATAACAGAGCCCTCAAATCTGAACTGTAAGGGGCTGGCCAGTTAGCTCAGCTGGTTAGAGCATGGCCTTATAACACCAAGGTCATGGACTGGATCCCCATATGGGCCAGCCACCAAAATAAGTAAGTAAATAAATAAATAAATAATAATAATCTGATCTCTAAGGGCATAATGAAATCATTAGCTCAAACATTTGCAACTGCAGAAATCGACAAATGGAATGAAGAAAGAAAGAGTACCACTGGGCTGGCCAGTTAGCTTAGTTGGTTAGAGCGTGGTGCTGTTCAATCCCTGTACCAGCCAGACACACACACACACACAGAGTGAGTGAGCACCATAAAAACAAGTGACTTAACAAAGTTTGGTGACTGTGGTGGTAGTTATATCATGATGAAGAGTCCCCAGTCACAGGTGTCAAGGAAGACATCAGCAGTGAAAGAAATGTGGATTTTGGATGTGATACTTTGCAAACTAAACACACCTGAGCTCAACACGTCTCAGGATAAAGACGGTTCTGCTTTTCTAGTTTTCAGCAGTGATAAAAGCCAGCAGTCTAAGAACAGTGAGAATGAAGAGGACACTTTGTGGTTTGTTGATAGAAGTGGACAACGGGAGTCTCCTTTAGTGGAGACTTGAGAAATATGTTACATGACAATGCATAGTTGGAAGAGGAAGACAAGGCCACTGAGGAAGAGAGAGAGGAGGAGGAAGAGGAAAATGATGCAAAACCATCAGACCAACGAATATAAAATTAGTGAGTTCAGTGATGAAGACAACTTATTACATAGCACGAAGTCTACACTTCTGAAGCTGACAGGCAGCAGCGCAGACCCTGGTCTGAATATCAAGCAGCTCAGTGGTTTGCATATTAATTTCAATACAACAAACTACAGTCTAATAAGGGAACCCTAACACAGATCAAGGAGAAAAAGAAAAATGAGCTCCTGCAGAAAGCCATCATTACACCTAATTTTTTTAAAAAAATTACTGTCCCCCACCATACAGTTAATCCAAGTATCAACTTCAGAAAAAATGCAGAAAAGAGCAACAAAAACCAGCAGGCGACAGCTGGTTTGGTATGAAAGCTCCAGAATTGACAGATGACTGAAAACTGATCTCACAGCACTGAAGATGAGCATGCATGGACCCAAAAAGGTTTTACAAGAAAAACGGTAGAGAAGCACGTCCAGACTGAACCACTGTTGACAGCCCAGGTGACTTTGACCATTCACGAATTCCCAAGAAGCAAAGGAAAAGAACTCTTGGGGAAGAACTGCTGGCTGATTCTGAGTCCAGAAGATACAACCAAAGGAAGTACTTATAGATCATGGCTGAAAAAGCAGTAAATGCAGCAGGAAAATATTCCAAAAGAATAATTTCACAATTAAGACTCATCCACAATATCTACATCTCCTCTTTATGTAGTTACTAAAGATGTTTTGAAAACTAATACGCATTGTATAAATTAATTTAACGTAGACTGGCCCTATTTATATAGGGATTTCTGTTTAGAAATAGTTCGAGAGAGAATCAAACACATACCCCTTGGAATAAAAATAGGTGTGTTTACAAAAGACAAAAAAAAGTACATGTGGTTTCCACTTTCCCTCAAAACATTTTCCCATCAAAGGCGAGTTAGCAATGCTTTTCATATTCTAAAGTCAGCTCGTTTATCTTAAAAAAGCATGCTGACCTTTTTAACTCTCTAAAGCAAAACTAAGCAATTGCCTTAATTCCCAAGTTGGATCAAAACAAAACAAAGAGTCTGAATATTGGCTGAAATGAAGAAAAATAAGGATGAAAATAAGGAAAAATTCAATGGCAGACTTTTTTTTTGCTTACTTTAATAGTTTTTATTTTGCAAATATACATACAAAAGAGTATTAAGATAAATGACAACTTAAGTATAGTAATAAACCAAATACCCATGTACCTATCAATCAGTTTCAGAAATAGAATAGGGGTGGGGCTAAAAAAGAAAAACAAAAAGAAATGGAATAATCCTAGTATCTCTGGAGCACTGTTTCTCTTCCCCCATACCCTAGAAGTAACGACTATCCTGAATTACACACACACACACACACACACACACAAAGCGATATACTGTTTAACTTTTATGTTTATGAACTTCATATAATTGGAATCATACTATATGCATTTTTCAGTGACTTTCTCAACTTTTTTTTTGTGATTCTTCCAGATTATGACATAATGACTCATTTATATTTTTTCACTACTGTATAGTATCCAATGAATGGATAAAATTTATGTATCTGTATCTATTCTCCCATCAGTGGAAATGGTTTCAGTTTTGTTATTAAAAACTATGCTATGAACATTCTTCTGTCTGCTGGTGTACACGTTCAAGTTTCTCCAAGGTAATAAACTAGGAGGTGACTGAGTTGAGCAACTTTTCATATTTTTACAAGACATTCTTATTTCCCCTTCTGTGAAAATTCCTTTCTTGTTTTTTGTCCATTTTATACTGGTTTGTCCTTTTCTTACTGATAGTTCTTTATCGATTCTGGACATTAATTTCTGTTAGCTACATGTGGGACAAAATCTTCCAGGTTGTGGCTTTTATTTTCATTGTTTTTACAGTATATTTTAAAAATGAGAAACTTGATCATTTAAAATGTAGTCAATTTTACCCATCTTTTCTTTTATAATAGGTGCTTTTCATCTTTTAAGACATCTTTCCTTAGGTCAGAGGTTAAAGGCCAGTGATTTTCACCTATATTGGTCCTAAAAATTTTAAAGTATTACCTTTCATGTTCAATTTTTTTTTTTTTCTGTTGGTGGCTGGCCGGTATTCACATTTAATTTCTTAATTTATTGAAATTGCTTTGTGAATGTGCATAAGACAGAAATCCAATATAATCTTCTGATTGTGATTTTTCAACCCAGTGTTCCAGCGACAGTCACTGCCCAGTTCATCCTTCCCCTGCTGATCTGCAATGCAGACTCTTGTGTCTACCTGACTTCAATACATGTAGATCTGGTTCTGGGCTTTCTGTTCTGTCCCACTGGTCTGTCTTTCCTTTGCCCAAAGCATACTATATTAATTACCATCACTTTATATTAAGTTTGACATCTGGTAGAAAGAATCTCCTTGCCTTCTTCTTCTTCAGGAGTGTCTTAGATATTCTTGGCCTTTTGCTCTTCCACATAAATTTTAGAAGCATGCTGTCAGGTTCCACATTAAAATAATTACACAGCCGCTTTTAATCCTTTTTTATCTATATGTATATGTATTTCATACAGCTGTAAATATACATTTCATATTTTCTCATTTCTAATAATTAA